TACCATTTACTTGTTTGAACATCTCAGAGATTTGGAGGTGGAAATGGAACTTGGGCCTTTGGTTGGTTTGCTTTTTAGTTTTTGATTCTTGTTCTTTTAAGGTGGCTTGAGGCCTATCCGATTATTTAATAGACTTCGTCTTGGAGGTAAAAGATACTGAACTTTAGAGGAATCCCTGGATCTCTGATGCAAAGTAGAACTCATCATTCCCTACTTTTGGCTGCCAATACACCGCTGCTTACATATTATTGATAATGTAATGATATTTGCACCTCATTTTTAGGTTCCATTATTATTATGGAGCCCTATACTATTCATTTACAGGCAAATCAAAGTTTTCTGGGCCAGATGAATAAGACTCAGTGACATAATGAATTTCAATCTCTGCCTCATTGTCAATGTAATTGTTCTGTAACTAAAACAAACCTTGTCAGCATGTTTAGGGGAAATAATTCTGTAATTACTTGAGAATAATTGTGAGTATGTAAATGGAGTTATCACATCAGAATTGAGCATAACGTGGCCACACTCCTATTGGAAATGCCATGTGCAGTAACGGGAGCAGCCCCAGCTTTTACCCAAAGGAAGTAAACCCAGGTCTGGGCCATTCCAGGAGGCAGCTTAGAAAGTTCTTTGAAATCTCTTGCTTTACCTTCCAAATGCACGCTCATTTGGCATTCAGTCGTTTGGCATTTCTTCATATTTGTTCTTAAAATAAAAATAATTTTACCCAAAATTTTGGGTAAAATGATGTTCCCAGGCAGGCACCCTTGCCCCTGAGCATAGCTGCTTACCTCTGGGAACAGAAGGGGCCTGTCTGAGAAGCCCTGATGTCCTGGGAGGCTGGAAGACCTGGGATATAGGTCAACACACATATATGACTGTGTGATTAGATGCTGCTGTGTATTTTTAGCAAACCACCTCATCTTTCATGCAGTGATACTGTGCAAAGAAAGGGTAAAATTTGAATAACATGCTGGAGAGTAAAGGCCGAGGGAGCCCTGTCAACTGAGCTATAGTTTCCGGACTGCTGAAACAGAAGATCCCCCGCCAGGGTGAAAAGAGCTGATCGTCACACTCTTTTACTGAATTGCAGTTTTAGGGGTGTGCAACAGTGGTGTGAATTTATATTTACAACTTTTCAAAAGGCAATTGTAAAGAGAAAATGAGAATGAGAGTAGGAGAGAGAGGCATCTGAATTAACCTCAAAGCCCTTATTTAACTCCAAGAGCTTCTCAATACCCTGCAGAATCTTCTACACCCCACAACAGATTCAGTTTGGAATCTGTTAAACCATTTGCCAAGTAGGCTCTGTTGTGGAAACATTTGGGTGCAAGACAGACACAGTGAAACTGCCAGAGCTTCGTCAGAGAGAGAGGGGCAGCAGGACCCAGCACCAAGCAGTTGGAACGGCAGTCAGGCATCAGACAAGCCTCAGAGCAAGGGAGCTTGTCAGCCCTGAGAAGACAAGCCATCTCCCTGACAGGCCTGCAGCCTCAGGTTGCTCCAGGGTGAAACTATTTGGGCTGAATCTTCACGTCATTTTCACAGTCAATAAACTGTAAAGAGTCTGTCTGTGAGTACAGCACATTTCTCAACGTCAAACATGCTTGTGCAACGCATCTCAAGCAAGAAGTCAGGATGTCAAACTCCCTAAGACTGGGCAAACATGTTTACTTCCTGGAAGATGTTTATTATGGCTACCATTCCCTCCATTTTTGTATCATCAGTGTGGTGCTTAGATGACTTTGTAAATGATGTTAGTAAAACTCCAAGAATTTAGGTAGAATTGTATGGAGACTTAAGTGATGTGTCTCCGCACTGAGCTTAGTAGCTTTCGGAAAATATACCTTTTCTTCTTCTTTTCTTTTTGTTTCATCTACAGACCTGTTTTTGATGCAATAAAGATGAAGAGGCTTCTTTGTAAATACTCTGAATGCCAGCAGAGGAATATTTAAATATGAAGAACCAAAATATGTATGCTTTAAAAAGGAAGGAATAAATGTACCATCCTTTGTTATCACTGCATGTTTCAGCTCATTTCAGCTTAGCATGAAATATGCAGTTTAATCCTACACCTTTTTAAAAATATACATTGGAATGCACATACTCTAGACTTATAATTCTATAAACTATAATTATTAAGATGATAGTTTCTATTGTTCCCCCAAAGAACTTATATTCTTAGAAAGAGACAAGCTTGGGGTGGACATTTTAAAATTAGAATTAGGAACCAGAGGCTTTAGCCATTGATTGTTAATTGTCCTGGTGGTGCAGTATAGCACTGTGAGGAGGGGTGGTCAGCATGCAGAGGTCTCCCACAGCCATGTCCAGGCACAGGCTTGCAAGACAAGAAAAGTCCACAACATTAAGGAATTTGGAAGCCCTGATTATGCCATGAGGACTGGCCACCTTCAGAGTTAAGAAGAGCGTGGTCTAGCCTGAGGATGTGGTCTCTGAACTGATAGCTGATTTCCATTTCTTAGTGTCAGCCATCGATGGGAATAACAAACAGAAAGGAGGAAGGAGAGGGCCCTCTGATGTGAAGAAGGCTAATTGTTATCAAAATCCCAGGGGTTTGTTCTAGGTCCCATTGCTCCATGCATAGAAAACCAATCACTGAGACAATGAGTATTGCCAGGAAAGAAGGTTTTTTATTTGGGTGATGTTAACTGGGAGAATAGGAGTTAAGTTTCAAATCCATCTCCTTGACCAACTAAAATTGGGGTTTATATATCAGGGAAGGAATGTAAAACAGGAACAAACGAGGAGTCTAAGGAACTAAGGTAGACGAGTAAGTGGTCTGGCATCCATTGGTCTAGATCTGGGCATCTGGTGAGTTTCAGTCTCTCACCTGAGAGTCAGTTTCCTGAGGAACGAATTCCAATGAGACTGTAACTGCCCAAAGGGTGCACCTTGCCCACTGCCTAGGCAAAGCCAATTCATCAAGACAGGGGAATTGCAATAGAGAAAGAGTAATTCACACAAAGCCAACTGTGTGGGAGACCAGAGTTTTATTATTACTGAAATCCATCTCCCTGAGCATTCAGGAAACAGAGTTTTTAAGGATAACTTGGTGGGACAGGGTGGGGTAGGGGGTGGGGAGGTGGAAGCTAGTGAGCCAGGAGTGCTGACTGGTCAGAGATGAAATTGTAGGGAGTCGGAGCTGTCTTCTTGCAGTGAGTCAGTTCCTGGGTGGGGGCCACAAGATCAGACGAGCCAGTTTATTGATCTTGGTGGTGCCAACTGATCCATCAAGTGCAGGGTCTGTGAAATATCTCAAACACTGATCTCAGGAGCAGTTTAGGGAGGGCCAGAATCTTGTAGCCTCCAGCTGCATGACTCCTAAACCATAATTTCTAATCTTGTAGTCCTACAAAGGCAATCTAGTCTCCTAGCAAGAAGAAGGTCTGCTTTGCAGGGCTGTTACCATGCAAAGCAGATAAAAGGGCTGTTACCATCTTTGTTTAAACTATAAACTATAAACTACGTTTCTCCTAAAGTTAGTTCAGCCTATGCCCAGGAATGAACAAGGACAGCTTGGAGGTTAGAAGCAAGATGGAATCAGTTAAGTTAGATCTCTTTCACGTCTCAGTCATAATTTTGCAAGGGCAGCTTTAAGACAAATGTAAGTTTCAAGTTTTCATAACATCTCAGGACCTATGAGAGTTTTGACTCACCAATCCTGGCCATGTTTTACTCTGATTCTTATCAAATGAGACTCTAAGGGACAGACATGTGTCAAAGAGTGTGACAGTCTCTTATCTGGCCTGGTTCAGGCCTGGCCATTCCATATGTCACTCCATTGGTTGGCTCCCTCTGCTGAACAGCCCAGGATCCCTGAGATGAACATCACAGTTGGGCCTCAGGGCAATCATACCAAGATTTGTCCACAAGCTGCAGCCAAGCTCACAGGCTCACCAGGGACACCTGCTTCAGTTGAAAAGATGAATAATAATCCCTTTGTACTCCACCTGGCTGAAGTGTGAGCCCTGGGATGCCCAGTCATTACTCCTGGTCTCATATCAGGCAGGTTGATGTGAATATCCAATCACAACCTATACAGCATCAAGAATACTAAGAGAAGAAAGAAAAAGACTGAACCCACACAACCTACAAATAATGAGACTCTGAACAAGAGATTACGGATATTTTCATTTTTCTCTTCCTAGTACAGATTATCTTCTAAAAAATGGACACTGGATTTGCTTAATACCCAGAGTTTTAAAATTATTTTCTGCAAACATACAACACTTGCAAAAGTAAATAGGAAGTACCTTCAAATACCCAAAATCATTTCTGAATAAAACCTTCCTAGAAGAGAATGGGAGGAAAAACTCTAGCTATTTTGATTAACCTATTACTAAATATTGAGCAATGATGAAAAACAAAACATTTTAGCAACATTGTTTTCAAATACCTACTAAACTCCAGATAATCCATATAGCAATTGTGTTCTGAAATTTCCCAGGAAGGCAACTGATTAATTAAGAGAGAGCTCAGAAGAGCTGCTTAATGCCACATTCAGGCTCCTCCCCAGCAGTTTCCTGGAAATCCCTAAATAATAATAAGTGGAGATGCAGCAGTTCAACACTCTACTTTGCTAAATGGAAATACATTATAATTACAATAGTAAACATCTATTGACCTATCATTCTAGTGCCTTAGGCCCTGCTTTAATAAATACTTTTTGCAAATTTGAATGTGAAAAGACATTGTTTGCATAAGTAGTTACAAAGGGTCTTTTCTATTACAGTAATTATGTTTGTTGATTTCCATTTTCCTGAAAAGTACCCATCACCCCCACTAGCAGATCCTCTACTACTGGGAAAAACATTAGCTTGCTAGAAGCTTGTCTTAATCAATAGTTACCCAGTGAAATCACTGTCTTCGTTGCCTGTAGCTGGTAAAATAACTGTGAATAAGCATGCTTGTGTTGAAGTGTGAATATCCATTTCAGTGTTTGTTTTGCTTGTCTCCCATTTTCCTTCTTTTTACAGATTTTTAAAAGCATCGGCACTGATGAGACTGTACAAGGACAAGGAAGTCGGAGGCTGATCAGCTTCTCTCTCTCTGGTATGTTTTGCTCACCTAGAGACTTTGTGGAGAGAATACGAATGTCAACCGAGAGCGAGGACACTCGCTTCCATTTCACTCTTACCTACAAGTCAGTCAACCTCTCTGTGCCTCAGTTTCTCAATCTGTAAAGCAAAAATGTTTTTAAATCTGTTCAATTTCCCTTGACCACATAAAGATAATAGAGAGCTTAGGAAGTAATAGATGTGAAAGCATGTTGAGATGATGGGAAGAGAGGCTGCAGTTCTACCTTTCCCCCAGGGCCACACAGCAGTAGTTGAGCATATACTAGGGGAGGTAAGGAAAACCTGGGAAGAGACGCAGCTATTCAACTCTTTGTCTAAACAAAACCTCACATGGGGCACAACTGGCAAAACAGATAACTGAGCCGCTCAAAAATGCACATTCATGGGAAAAAAAATCAGTGGAATCCAATTAAGTCTGTTAACTAATAATATTTTTGTTTAATATTTAAGAGTAAGTTAACGTTTTAGTTTTCGTGAAGGTACCATGGTTCTGTCTGTCATGCGTATCTGCATGAAGAGAGTCTACCAACAGGCTTTGTGTGAGTAACAAGGCTGTTTATTTCACCTGGGTGCAGGTGGGCTGAGTCCTAAAAGAGAGTCAGCAAAGGGTGGTGGGATTATCATTAGTTCTTATAGGTTTGGGATAGGCGGTGGAGTTAGGAGCAATATTTCATGGGCAGGGGGTGGATCTCACAAAGTACATTCTCTTTTTTTTTTTTTTTTTTTTAGAAAAAGTGTAGCTCTCTCGCCCAGGCTGGAGTGCAGTGGCCCGATCTTGGCTCATTGCAAGCTCCACCTCCCAGGTTCACGCCGTTCTCCTGCCTCAGCCTCCTGAGTAGCTGGGACTACAGGCGCCCGCCACCACACCTGGCTAAATTTTTTTGTATTTTTAGTAGAGACGTGGTTTCGCTGTGTTAGCCAGGTTGCTCTTGATCTCCTGACCTCGTGATCCGCCGGCCTCAGCCTCCCAAAGTGCTAGGATTACAGGGGTGAGCTTCCCCGCCCGGCCTGCAAAGTACCTTCTTAAGGGCGGGGGAGTATCACAAAGTACATTATTGCAAGGATGGGGAGGGAGTATTGTCATAAGGTCAATTGATCAGCTAGGGTGGGGCAGGAACAGATCACAATGGTGGAATGTCATCTTTTGTGGTTCTTCAGTTGCTTCAGGCCATCTGGATGTATACCTGAAGGTCACAGGGGATATTATGGCTTAGCTTGGGCCCAGATGCCTGACACCATCATATGTTAATAATGGGACAAACTGGGCAAAGGGTATGTGGGAAATCTTTGTATTATCTTTGGAACTCTTCTGTAAACCCAGAATTATTTAAAAATTAAAAGTTCAGGGCTGCGCGTGGTGGGCATGGTAATCCCAGCACTTTGGGAGGCCAAGGTGAGCGGATCACCTGAGGTCAGAAGTTTGAGACCAGCCTGGCCAACTTGGCAAAATCTCATCTCTGCTAAAAATACAAAACTTAGCCAGGCATGGTGGCGGGCTCCTGTAGTCCCAGCTACTTGGGAGGCTGAGGCAGGAGAAACACTTGAACGTGGGAAGTGGAGGTTGCAGTGAGCTGAGATTGCCCCACTGTACTCCAGCCTGAGCAACAGAGTGAGACTCCATCTCAAAAATAAATAAATAAATAAATAAAAGTTTAAAAGAAAAACTGAGCTGTTCTGGCTAACATGAGATATACAAAGCTCAGGGCCTCACACATTCAATCCCACCCTAAACAGTCTTTAAGTGGACACAGCGGCATAAAGCCTGAGGATTCTTTTGAGCAACAGTTGGAAAACTACTACCTTAGCTTGTCAAATCAACAGATGTTGCAGGCCTTGAATGCCAGGAGTCACAGACATGAAGTGCATGTGCCTCCTTGGGAGCTACACTGTTAACTGGGCTTTTCAAGTCTAAGTGAGCCCAGTAAAGCAAATATGTTTTGATCCATTGACAGTGTTAGCATGTGTATAGCTAGGCTGAAGAAAAAAAAAAGAAGAAGAAAAAACTTGTAACCACCCAATGCGTTTACCTTGCCCACTGCCTAGACATAGCCGATTTATCAAGAGAGGGGAATTGCAATAGAGAAAGAGTAATTCACACAGAACCGGCTGTGCAAGAGACCAGAGTTTTAGTATCACTCAAATCAGTTTCCCCGAGAATTCGGGCATCAGAATTTTTAAGGATAGTTTGGTGAGTAGGGGCCAGTGAGTCAGGAGTGCCGATGGGTTGGGTTGAAGATGAAATCCTAAGGAGTTGAAGCTGTCCTCCTGTGCTGAGTCAGTTCCTGGGTGGGGGCCACAAGATCAGATGAGCCAGTTTAGCCACCTGGGTGGTGCCCGCTGATCCATCAAGTACAGGGTCTGCAAAATATCTCAAGCACTAATCTTAGGTTTTACAATAGTGCCATTACCTCCAGGAGCAATTTGGGAGTAGTCAGAATCTTGTAGCCTCCAGCTGCATGACTCCTAAATCATAATTTATAATCTTTTGACTAATTTGTTAGTCCTACAAATGCAGTCTAGTCTCCAGGCAAGAAGGGGGTTTGTTTCAGGAAAGGTCTGCTATTGTTTTTGTTTCAAAGGTAAACCATAAACTAAGTTCCTCCCAAAGTTAATTGGGCCTGTGCCCAGGAATGAACAAAGATAGCTTATAGGTTAGACACAAGATGGAGTTGGTTAGGTCAGATTTCTTTCACTGTCTCAGTTATAATTTTGCAATGGTGGTTTCAGCTCACTAATTTTGTACTTCTAAGGCAAAAGCTAGCAACTCCTATTGAAATGCTTAAGAAATAACAATTATTAGAACCAACCTTCAAAAACAGTAAAAACAAGGAATGCTGCACAACTATGTGCCAGAAACCAAGAGGAATTATCACTAACCAAAGCTCCAGTGAAGTCCAAGTCGTGAAGCCCAAGAGGAATGCCATGCACGGTGAGCAGGGCAGGGCTGTGGAGGGGACAGTCTCTATTCCTTCATCTCTGCTTTGCTTCTGCCATGAGGACATGGGCTCACAGACCTACCAGAGGAGGAAGCCCCGCCACCACCACCCCAACTTGGTTCACAAAGCTGCTTTACAAGGTGATCAGGGTTGGTTCATCTCCTGCAGTCCCCAAACACATCACTTTTCCTACATTTATTCCAAGACAACAATTCCCGGCAAAGGAAAGTGACTAGGGATATAAAGTTAGTAGCTAGCAGGCCGGGCGCGGTGGCTCAAGCCTGTAATCCCAGCACTTTGGGAGGCCGAGACGGGTGGATCACGAGGTCAGGAGATCGAGACCATCCTGGCTAACACGGTGAAACCCCGTCTCTACTAAAAACACAAAAAACTAGCTGGGCGAGGTGGCGGGCGCCTGTAGTCCTCGCTACTCGGGAGGCTGAGGCAGGAGAATGGCGTAAACCCGGGAGGCGGAGCTTGCAGTGAGCTGAGATCCGGCCACTGCACTCCAGCCCGGGCGACAGAGCAAGACTCCGTCTCAAAAAAAAAAAAAAAAAAGTTAGTAGCTAGCAGAGCAAGCTTGGAATGGTCATGGATATATAATGCTTAGTAGTTGGCTATGTATATGTGTGTTGCGTTCACTATGTCTGCCTAGGACAAAAAGCAAATACTGCTGAAACTATCCAAATAAATTCCATGCAGCCAGGCATGGCGGTTCATACCTATAATCCCAGCACTTTGGGAGACCAAGGCAGAAGGATTGCTTGAGCCCAGGAGTTTGAGACCACCTGCGTAATATAACAAGATCCCATCTCTACAAAAAGTTAAAAAAGCCAGCCATGGTGGCATGTACCTATAGTCCCAGCTACTCAGGAGGCTGGGGCAGGAGGATCACTTGAGCCCAGGAGTTAGAGGCTGCAGTGAGCTCTAATTGTGCCACTGTACTCCAGGCTGGGTGACAAAGCAAGATCCTGCTTCAAAAGACTAAAATAAAAATAAATTCCATGCCTCAAAAAAAAAAAAGACAAAACAGAAAGATCAACAAAGCCCACAAAATATCAAAAATTTGCTCCATGCTGGTCAGCTCTGAGTATAAGAGCAGAGCTGAGGATTCCAGCAACAACCAGTTGGACAACCAAACTCACTAAAGATGGACAAATGCCAGGACCACATGACATGCTCATAGGTAAACAATAGAAATTTTTACTTGAACAATGTGTGGAGAAAATACTCTACCCTATTAAAAAGTTGAAGACTATAATACTCAAGAGAAAAAGAAACTATTCTATTGACAGATACCTACTAAAGAAAACTAAAATATTTATCACTCATCTGCTTGTACCCTCAACAAAATAGAGGGAAGTACAGAGCATATTAACTAAGAGATCAAAGATGAGAAAAGATGATAAGGGAGTTTTTTAAAGCTTGCAAAAATAGAAACTTAGAAAGTCAAGTGTATTTGCTTTCTCTTGCTGCTATAACAAATTGCCACCAATTTAGTGGCTTAAACAACACAAATGTACTCTTACTGTTCTACAGGTCGGAAGTCCAGAATGAATGTTAAGGGACTAAAATCAAGCTGTCAGCCAGGCTGCTTCCTTCTGGAGGCTCTGGTGCAAATCCATCCCTTGCCTCTTTCAGCTTCTAGGGGCTGCCAGCATTCTTCGGCTCATGGCTACATTGCTCCAATCTCTGCTTCTCTCATCACATTGCCGTCTCCTCACTTTGCTCTTCCTGCCTCCATCTGACAAGGACTCTGTGATTACATTGCACCCGCCTGGACCGTCCAAGATAAACCTCTCTACTGCAAGATCCTTGACTTAATCACTCTGCAGAGTCCCTTTTACCATGTAAGGTAACATATTCATAGGCTCCAAGGATTAGGATGTGAACATCTTTGTGGGGTCTACCACAGTCAATAAGAGATTTAAAATAAACTCTAAAAAGTACAATCACAGAATTAAAAGCCTTCAAAAGCAGTACAGAGCACAAGCACCACTACAGAAAGGGAATCAGTGATATGACAGTCTCTTGAGAG